CTAAGATTTTGAGTTCTACATTGACTGCCATGTTGGGCTGGGCTGACAAAAGACTCCTGGCGTATCATGGAACTTTTGATAGTCGAAAAATTGATTCCATTCAAAGCATTGTTTCTATTGGGATATCTGCTGCCAAAATCTTAGTTGAAGATATATCAAATGAGTATCGTTGACAAAGAAAAAACGAAACTGATGTGGCATGCAGCAGGATTGACACTACATCAGGTCATCAGTTTGCACCGCTTTTGCTCGGGCAAGTTCCTCTCAGTTTTTGAATTCTCATCTAGCAATTTAGAAGGTAAACTTTAATGAAGTTGAGACTTGAGTTATTGTAACAATGCCTCAATGGTGTAATGGGTACACAATTTCTGCTGCTGGAGAGGGCAGGATGAGTTCCAAGAATTTTGGATGGAAAAATGGTGCAAAATGTTGGCCAACAGTTGGCAAACTATATGGGATTGATCTTAAAGCTTTCATCCAAACTTGTAGACCTATGACCTATTTTCTGCATAGAGAGATTAAGAAATTCAAGTGCAAGAACATCACAAACATCTCTGCTTATAAAGATGGTAATACTGTTTAGCCAACACATGCAATTCATCGGCCTTCATAATTTTAATGACTCTCTGCATAGAATTGTATTAAGAAATTCATGTGCAAGAACATCACTAACATATCTCTGCTTATAAAGATGTAATACTATTTAGCCAATGAATGCATATAATTTGGCTTTTGTAAAATTTTTATTAAATTCTAGCAAACAAGTTATTTTTCTTCAAAATCTATCTGCCTTGAAATTGGTCCTTGAGAGGGAGGGGGAAGTTAATCCTTTCATTTTGAAGACACAATTAGTATTTATAGAGAATTAAAAATGAAAGCCCGCTGTTTTCTGGCATGTTATGAATTAAGTGATTTGTAATGTACATATAGTCGGTGTCATTGTCACAAGATCTTTTTTGAAGTTGAAAACTCTAAAATAAGACACTGCTCACATATTTTGGTCCATGTACTCAAGCTACCTTAATAGATAAAGGAATAATAGTTAAAATATATTTGGGTAATGTATGAAAATTTTGTTTAAATTTTGGACTTGCAGAGAATGGAAAAGGCAGATTCAAACAGAAGATCATCAAGAAACCAGCTAAATTCCCTTCCTGTCCTTGCTATTCTTGCAAAGGATGTTGGGGATCTTGCAATGAAAGGAAAGGACACATTCAGTCCTATCTTGAAAAGATGGCACCCTTTTGCCGCAGGTGTTGCTGTTGCCATGATACATGCTTGCTATGGAAATGAGCTGAAGCAATTTATTGCAGCTATAACAGAGTTGACAGCAGATGCGGTACAAATACTGAGAGCTGCTGATAAGTTGGAAAAAGATCTTATCAATATTGCTGTTGAAGATTCAGTGGATAGTGATGATGGTGGGAAGGCCATCATTTGTGAGATGCCTCCTTATGAAGCTGAAGGCTCAATAGCCAACATGGTTAAAGTTTGGATAAAGACAAGGATAAACAGGTTGAAGGAATGTATTGACAGAACTCTTCAACAAGAGGTATATGTTCAGTGTCTGATCGATTCCTTTCTTGAACAGAACACAATGCTGTATAACCTGACCTCCAGAAATCCTTAAATACATTTATTTGAAATCTTACGACCGCATATGACTTGTATTGGGCACACACTTAAGTAGGCATGTAGTGCAGTACTAAGTTACACTTGGAACTAAATGATTGTGCAGAAATTTAAAAAGTTTCTAATACTTCCCAGGGTATTCTTTCAATGACTCAGAGGGTATGTCTGGCGATGTAATTATAAATAGGAGTGTTTATAAACGGGCATAAATGAGTGGTTAAGAAGTGAATAGTACTTGTGGATTGGATAAAAAGTGGTATGACAGTATTTTTTGACCAAGGTGCTTATAAACATCGAGAAACAATGAGCCTAACATAGGCTTAGTTTAGGTAAGAGTTATGACTCATAAATCCTAATTACCATAGGATGATTTCTATGTTCTCCCCTTCTTTTTCCTTTATCTGGAAGCTGATAGATTTTGTTCGATGCAACAATATT